GGAAAATTTGAAAGAGAATAATTTTTAGGAAGTAATTGTGGCAATATAATTTTTGCCCATTCAGTATTATAACCTATATTAAATAAGAGTTAAATGTTATACATGTAGTTGTCCAATTTTCTTTTCTTTTTTTTTAATAAACGTACCCGAAAAACCTCTATTCAAAACTTCAAATTTTCTTACATAAGAAGATTGAAGTGCCGCACCCCAACCATTATTTTCGGGATCATGACCATACTACAGTATGGAGAGAAGTCATTTGTTAACTCTCTTCGAAATTATATCTTTTAGAAATTTGAATACCTGAGTGATAGAGTCACCAAATAATACAATTTGATTATATAAAGGATTCATTGTTTGCGATACGAAAAAAAGGTTTAGCACATTTTTCAGAAAGTTTAGTTTTAGAAGGATTTTCTATGATTGGCTAATGTAATATTGGTCATTTAGATATGTAGATCTGAAGTGATAATCATGTTCATTAACGTGGGTTCAAACAAAACAACAAAACATATCGATTTAGCATATGCCCAAGAATATTTGATTGGCCATTCAGGGAGAATTAACAATCTAAATTTTAAACTTTAGGTAACAAATCAATAATAATAAGTATAATTACATGACGCAAAACTTTCACCTAAACCGGTAAAAATAAAAATTTTAAAAACTTTGAGCGAAGATAACTCGATAACTACCTGCTTGAATCTGATAAAACTTTATATTTGAATTCTATGGATTCATAGAATTCAAATTAAAAAAAAATTCATCGAATTTAGCCATGTGGTTGTCGAGAGTCTATCAAAATAGAAGCTGCGCCAAATTTCTCCTAACTTTGAGCGGATATCAGTCTGTCCAAATTCGATAAAACTTTTTTTCCTTCAATTCTATGGATTCATAAAAAAATTTCATCACATTTAATCAAGTGTTTGTCAAGATATCTTCGCTCAAAGAAAAAATCAAAATGCATATCTACGCCAAATTTTCTTTCTGACTTTGAGCGAAGTTATCTCGACACCCACTTGACTAAATGCAATAAACTTTTTTTTATTTAAATTTTATGAATCCATAGAATTGAAAGAAAAAAAATTTTATCGAATTTGGACAGACCGTTATTGAGATATCTTCGCTCAAAGTTAGAGAGAAATTTGGCGCAACTTCTATTTTGATAGGCTCTCTAATTTTGAGCGAAGATATCTCGGCAACCACATGGCTAAATTCGATGAATTTTTTTTATTTGGATTCTATGAATCCATAGAATTCAAATAAAAAACGTTTTATCACATTTGGCCAAATAGTTATCAAGATATGGGGGGGCATTAATAGAAACCAAGCAAATCAAAATTTTTTCAAAATTTAGTTTTTATGCTTAACTAATATAAAACTTTGTAAAGAATATTTTTTACTTAATAATAACCCTTTGATTAATTAATAAAAATTTGAGATATTTACATTTAAACAATTTGATCAAAAATTGATCATCTGATCATAATTGATTGGAAATAAATCATCTGATCTTGAAATACTATTATATTTGCACATGACTTAAATAATTTCTTTAACAAGTAGTCAATAGTATTAAGCAAATTTGTCTAATAAATTTGCTTGGTTTCTATTGAACCGTATATGCTAAATGGTGCTTTCTAATCAAGGCCACATGAGTGGCTGAGTGGGTTCGGATTGTTGATTATTGTTTATATGTTTGTGTAACAAAAAAATCAGATTTGCTTGGTTTCTATTGACACCCCCATATCTTTGCTAAAAGTTAGGATAAATTTGGTGCAACTTCTATTTTAATAGACTTTCTAATTTTGAGCGAAGATATTTTGATAACTATATAGCTAAATTCAATAAATTTTTTTTTATTTGAATTCTATAAATTTATAGAATTTAATATAAAGTTTTATCAGATTCAAGCAGGTAGTTGTAGAGTTATCTTCGTTTAAAGTTTTT